ATAAATTTTATTATAATTTAGAATTTAAATTTAAAATATATCTAAAAATAAAATAATAAAATTTAAAATTTTTATTTTATTTTCATTTATTCATCTTTTTTATTTTTTTCTATCTATGTCCTTTAAAAATTTTAAATTTTCATTAAGTATTGTCATTATTAAACTTAAAATATACATTTATTGTTGATTTAATTATAACCAATAACTAACCTTAAAAACTCCATAGGGTTTCTCTCGTGCACTACTTCTAAAATTGAGGGTAGTGACAGCAGTCCCTAAGGTTTCTCTCCGACATTGGAATTCTTTCATCCTTCCTTTCTTCTTACCCTTCCTTTCCTCCTCTTGATCTCCTCCTTTCTCTTGTCATTGTCTTGCTTTGGAAACTCCAACCCAAGGGACCACAAAGCAGCGGCTTTTTTGGGTTTTCTAAGGTTTACATCTCTTGATTTTCGAAGGTTGCAATTATAATTGATTTTGTCGGTGAAGTGGGTTTCTCTTATTTAATGGGCAAGAATCTCACTTTGGTGCATCTCCTCGGATGGGATCTTGGTGGGGGTTGAATTTGGCAAATCTAATTCACACAAGTTCTCGATTAGCTAGCCAATTACCAGAGGAAAGGGATGCTGTTGATAAGGCCAACTATGGTCTACGTGAGAAGCCTGATTTTCAAGCCAGCAAAGGGGCTTTAATTCCCTTAATGAGTTTTGACAACATGGGTTTGAAAAGGATCAACAAAGATGAAAACATGATTGGGAGTATATAGAGGCGACTAAGAGACCTTGTGCTTGTCAAGAAAAGACCCATACTCCTCTTGGTTGTTTTTCTTTAAGAATAAGTAGGGCAGCAACTTGTGGGTTGAGGATTATTTGTTGCCGGAATCCCTTACTTTCCCAAGGAGTTGGTTAAATAGGTAAGGATGTCCAGTAGTTCTTAATGCTCATAGTGACTCCCCTTTTTACATTAGTAGCCCTATTTATCCTATACAACGATTGTAAATTCAATCCCTAGTTGCATATGATTCTCTTTGCTTAATTATCTATATCCCTTACTAATGCTGTAGGTTATGCTTTTGATTTTATCCTTAGATTATTTTAATTTTGATTATATGCTATGAGATTTTATTGTAATTTCTTATTATTTAATATATTTTTTTATTTCTCATAAAAAAAATTATAACCAATAACTAACATGTTAAAAAAACTGATTATCTCGATCAGTAAATCAAAATTCTATGAACATTTTTAGTTAAATTTCAGTTACTATAAAGTAAAAAAATAATTCAAATATTAATTTTAATTAAACTAAAATCCAACCGCTGTCCACCCCTATTATTCATATCCTCTTTAAATAGAAAATTCAAGGAGTTTATTTAAAAAATATTGAACTACTTTAATTCAAAATTAATAAAATTAATATTTTTAAATAAAAAATTAATAAAATTAATATTTTTATATACATTTTTACCCAATAAAATTAAAATAAATGAACGAATGTTGGGCGTAGCGTGGCATTGGATGCTTGCTTCCTGTGCTGTTCATCGTCCAACAGCCATAATTACAATTTCTTTTCCTCTTTATTAAGGACCCACCAACCGGCCCTTCATTACCATGAATGAAGGGTCATTTAATTTAATAGTTTACTCAAAAAA